CATAGCTGCTGTGCCTAAACTCTTCTTCACACAACAACCGTTTCCCGTAAGTGCACCTACTTTCCTTCCTGCCTATCGCTCTCCCTTCCATAGCCTGATGGCTAACTCATTCTTTAACACCACAGACAACCTTCACATAAGTTGCCACCTACTATATTTCCTTCCTGCTAGCTCCACCTTTCCAATTAAGGCTGCTGCTAACTCATTTTTCACACAGACAACCTTCCATAAGTGGCACCACTATCTTCCTTGGCTATTGTCTCACCTTCCCATGCTGATGCTAACTCATTTCTTCACACAACACCTTCACGTTAAGTGTGCACCTATGATTCTTCCTGCATTGGTCACCTTCTCCATAGCTGCATGCTACTCATCTTCACACAGGGACTAACCTCACATAAAGTGCAATCCTACTTATTCCTTCCTGCTCACGCTCACCTTCTCCATAGCTGCTTTGCTAACTCATTCTTCACACACAGACAACCTTCACCATAGTTGCCACCTACTATTCCTTCCTGCTATGCTCACCTTCTCCATAGCTCCTGCTAACTCATTCTTCACACACAGACAGCCTTCACGTAAGGTGCACCTACTATTCCTTCCTGCTATGCTCACTCTCCATAGCTGCTGCTAACTCATTCTTCACACACAGACAACCTTCACGTAAGTGCCCGACCCTACTATGCTCACCTTCTCCATAGTGCTTGCAACTCATTCTTTCACACACACACCTTCACGTAAGTGCCACCTACTATTCCTTCCTGCTATGCTCACCTTCTCCATAGCTGCTGCTAACTCATTCTTCACACACAGACAACCTTCACGTAAGTGCCACCTACTATTCCTCCTGCTATGCGCTCACCTTCTCCATAGCTGATTGCTAATCATCTTCACACACACAACCTTCACCGTAAGTGCCACCTACTGATTCCTTCCTGCTACTGCTCACTTCTCCATAGCTGTATGCTAACTCATTCTTCACAACACACAACCTTCCCGTAAGTCGCCACTACTATTCCTTCCTGCTACGCCTCACTTCTCATAGCTGCTTGCTAACTCATTCTTCACACACAACAACCTTCACGTAAGTGCCACCTACTATTCCTTCCTGCTACGCTCACCTTCTCCATAGCTGCTGTAACACTCATTCTTCACACACACAACTTCCGTAAGTGCCACCTACTATTACCTTCCTGCTACGCTCACCTTCTCCATAGCTGTATGCTAACTCATTCTTCCACACATCGCACAACCTTCCCGTAAGTGCCACCTACTACCCTATCCTGCTACGCTGCACCTTCTCCATAGCTGCTGCTAACTCATTCTTCACACACAGACAACCTTCACGTAAGTGCCACCTACTATGCTCACCTTCTCCATAGCTGCTGCTAACTCATTCTTCACACACACAACCTTCACGTAAGTGCCACCTACTATTCCTTCCTGCTATGCTCACCTTCTCCATAGCTGCTGCTAACTCATTCTTCACACACACAACCTTCACGTAAGTGCCACCTACTATTCCTTCCTGCTACGCTCACCTTCTCCATAGCTGCTGCTAACTCATTCTTCACACACACACAACCTTCCCGTAAGTGCCACCTACTATTCCTTCCTGCTACGCTCACCTTCTCCATAGCTGCTGCTAACTCATTCTTCACACACACACAACCTTCACGTAAGTGCCACCTACTATTCCTTCACGCTATCAGTAATGCTCACCATCTTTGTAGGCGCTGATCAGGTCCCAGATGTGTCGGCGCGCGACCGGGTCGATGCCGCTCGTCGGTTCGTCAAGGATCACCGTGCGTGATCCGCCAACGAACGCCACGGCGACGGACAGTCTGCGACGCATGCCGCCGGACAGGTTCTCGACGCGCTCCTGCTGCAGGTCCCACAGATCTGTCGCTTCCAGCATCCTGCAGGGAAAATCCAAGACCGTCGCCACAATCTTCAATAATGCCCATGACGAAAGATTGGAGCAAGGAGATAGGACGCAGAGAAAGTTACGGAAACAAGCTTAACACGATGATAGGGAGTGTTGCCGTGACAACGTTGACCAATGACGATGGATCACAGAGAAACATCGTTTTTATCGATGTGTGAACAGAAACGGAATATTGTGCCTGCAAAACGATAGGGCGTATGCGTAACGTATCAGCTTACCGGTGGATGTCCTCATCTAACTTCTTCTTGTTCATGGTTCCTTTGAGTTTCCCATAAAATTCCAAATGTTCTATGATAGACAGCCTACAAGAGATTGTTAACAGACTTTTAAAAAAATCTCAATGCAATCTCTTGCACACTTATTATGTGCAAGAATATGCCTGAACCCAAGCCTTATTTCTCTGTAAGTGATTGCATCTGCTCACTCCGAAATCGGCATAGTTTTATTTTAGCAAAATAAAAAGCACTACGAAATATTAGTGATGCTTACCCATCAAAAAGAATATCATGTTGCGGGCAGATGCCAAGCTTGCCACGAATATCGTTAAACTGACTGTTGACATCCTTGCCGTGTATGTAAGCCGCTCCCTCTGTTGCTGGGTACTCTCCTGACAATATGTTACTGCAAAAATAATATCCCAATATATATATATATAGATATATATATATATATATAACAAACTGACTGAGCAATGGAGTTGGTCAGGTAATCCAAAATACATGCCAGTAAATTGCTAGTACATACGCAATACTTGTAGATGTCGACGGTTCTGATGCATGCAATCATTTGGACAAACCACGGATTTCTTTAACACATTTTGGTATCATCAAAAAGACAGAGACTTTCATGTCGACCTGGTTTCATTAGCATGAGACAGAGATAGCAACCGTTGGGCCCAGCCCACATGAGTATATCTGCATAATACGCCAATATGGCTAGATGGCAAGGGATCGAAAGACTCGGGTTTTCTAACATCACAGTAGCAGCTGTTACTATACTTAGCTGCATAACTTTTTGAAAGCACGTTACGTAAGCACTCACGTTACATAAAACACGTTTGATTGCACTAGTAGTGCGAGGGCATGTCGTATATACACATAGGTGCGGGCGTACATGGTGGTTGTCTTGTTACATAAAACACGTTAGAATGCACTAGTAGTGCAAGGGTATGTCGTATATATACATAGGTGCATGCGTACATTGTTGCGCTTGTCTTGCTTACATAAAACACGTTAGATGCACTGATGTGTGGCAAGGTATTGTCGTATATATACATAGGTGATCGTACATCGTTGGTTATCTTGTTCAGATAAAAGAACGTAATGATTGCATTTCACTACTAGATAGTGCGAGAGGTATGGTCGTTTATTTATTCATACAATATAAACATAGGTGGGGGCCGTTACCTGGGCTGGTTTGTCTGGTTACATAAACACGTTTAGAATTCACTAGTAGCTTCAATGTGTATATCCGTCATATGATACATAGGGTGCCTGTGCGTACATGGTGGTTGTCATGCTTACATAAACAAGTTATAATTGCATCTGCACTAGTAGTGCGAACGGGCATGTCGTATATACATGCGTACATGCGTTGGTTGTCTTGCAGCGCTCGTTGTGTCCAGGAAAGCAGCACCTGACCCTCGTAGAACTTCGATGCTCAGGCCATGTATGGCACAGCTCGCCATCCTTGCCCCCGTATCGCTCCTCAGCTTCTGCAGGGAGATGCCAACCCTCGCAGTAACGCGTGCTCAGCCTTCCCCAGGCACCTCTCTCGGACACTGCCTGTAAAATATCAGATTTGATTGAATCTCCATGAAAAGAGACATCGCTGCCCAGCAAACAGTAGCAACATGAGCAATGATATATGGCAACATGACATACTTAACTACACTATTGCATTCTATCAGATTTTTCCTCCATGAAAAAGACTGTTTTCAGGCACACGTATTTGCATTTGAATCACGTGCAATAAAGATTTAATAATAATAAATATAAACACGTTGCCCATGTGGGCCTGCCATTACAGTACGGTGCTACATGTGGCAAAGGGATGTAGAGTCAAATACCTATTAGCAGTTGCCTATAGAATGAACATCTATACTAAATAAAGGACACCTTTGACATTTCCACTGAGTGGCAGTTACAGTCAGTGAAACCTAAAGATTACCTGCCAGTTACAACGAGAGTTGAGCAGCTGTTATATTTCGCAAGAAAGTACATGTGTGCACCTTAGTAATTATTCGGATTAACAACAATACCACTTACGCGTTGAATCATCTCAATCCCATTGCTGGCCTTGTTAGTTGACCTCTTCTTGCTGGCTGACTGGACGGTCATTTGAAACCAGTAAGTCGTTGTGAAGGGAAAATACCAGGCGCTTTGCATGGGCCCATGTCCTATATACGGGAATATGTGGACACATTCAGTGGGCAAATAATTAGATCAGCAATACAGTGTAGCCCCGTTATAACGCAATGGTTGGGGTCCATAAAATTGTCATCGCGAAAAAAACGGGGTTGCGCTAAATCGGGGTTATATATACGTGCTAATATAAGAGCACAAAAAACGACTCATCGCGATATATTGGAATTCGCGTTAAATTGGGGCGTGTAAAATCGTGGGTTCCACTGTACAGAGGTGTATCAGAACACATACCTATTAATATTGCCATACCATTACATATTAATCAACATATCAGGCAAACTTTCATACCTAATCATACATATTAATTAGACATTTTAGAACCTCATACCTTATTATACCAACCATACATATTAATTACATATCAGAACCTCATACCTATTTTATAACCAACCATACATAATTAATACATATCAGAACCTTATGCCTAATTATAACCAACCACAGTATAATCACATATCAGAACCTCCATGCTATTCATACCAACCAATACATATTAATACATATCAGAACGTTATGCCTATTATACCAACCATACATATTAATACATATCAGAACGTTATGCCTATTATACCAACCATACATATTAATAAATATATCATACCTGGGAAGAGGTTATCCAGATACCAGGCAAGCAAGAAGTATATTGCCGCGTCGATGAGCATCATCCAGCAGGCCCACGTCACGTTGGTTTCGTCGCCGGGGACGGGACTGCTCTGCATGTTACTCCACTGCAGACCAACACCCTGCACCTCGAATCGCGAGATGTACAGCCAGCAGAAGCTGAATGCCGTCGTCGAACTCAGACACTGCAACAACGCAGCGTGTTATCGACTAGCGAGGAGGCGCCATGTCACCGTGTAGGGCTGCAAGGCTGAGTACGCTCAGCACTGCATCGAGGTGAGGGAACTCTAACGAGGAATGTGACGGAGAATCTGAATGAGGATGTCAGTGAGGCACCATGTCACAGTGTAAGACTGCATGGCTGCTTAAGCTTCAGCACCACATCGAGGTGAGGAAATTCTAATGAGGAATGTGACGGACAGGCAGGAATCGTATTGTATTTTTCGTAATAAATTCTATAGCAGTGTACATACTCACCATGACAAGCTTTCCCCAATGGGGCAGTTGCTTCTCCAGGCTCATGATAATCAGGTAGGGCATGTAGGATAACATGTAGATCATGATGGCCATGAGCATTGCCAGCACGGGCTTGTTGAAAAAGATGCTCACCAGATAGCTGAAACACGTGAGACATCACCATTACCAGCTGCCACTGGCAGTGAAAACGCGTTGTTTTTTTCTAACACAACTTCATTGGATTGTACGCAAATGCATGCATGCACATGCACTTGCGTGTGTGAGATGCAAATTGAGAAATGAACACCAATGGTAAACCCTTGGGGGTCATGCCTTTCTGGTGAAGCAAATGCAAATTTTATATTGATCTAATCAGACCAAATGCTAAGAACACAGTTACCAGCGATTCGGTACTGATAACAAAAAGTGAAAGTTGCCGCTGGTCCTGTACCCCTGTAGTAACCCCCTTGCTTTGAAAATGGACATCACTGGTCCAAAATCTGTAACCCAACAGGCTTGACCATTGAATCTCATATTAAATCAATGGGATAACGTCAGACAAACTAGTAAAGACTGATAAAAACTGCAAAGTGCTCTCGGGGTAAAGCCTGGGACACACCATGCAAATTTACTCACACGTCCGCGGCGATCATATCCGCAACGAAATTTGCGGCGAAAATATTCGCACCCGCATGCGATCGATAATTGAGCGGACACATCATGCAAATTTATTCGCACGTCGGCAGCGGACACACTACATGCGATCTACTGGCGCCACACGGCTCCAACAGTCACGTGGTCACGTGATTAGCATACTGATCAATGATTCGCTGCATTATAACAATCGGCCGGCTTGATTTTCGCTTCCACGGACACACCATGCAAATTTGTACGCTCCGGTAAAAATCCGCAGCAAAAATATCAAACGTATTTGATCGCTGCGAATTTCGGTGCGGATGAAATTCGCCCGCGCTTGAGCGGACACACCATGCGAATTTCGCTGCGATTTTACAATCGCTGCGGACGTGCGAATAAATTCGCATGGTGTGTCCCCCGCTTTAGTCGCATGGTAGATGTCACGAAAACTGCTTACCTCATCATGATGGTAGACAGTAGAAAATCGAGGAAGATGAGGAAGAGGATGCCGATGTTGGTGAATCTCAGGATGCCTCCGGCCCGCAGCAGGATGATGACGAGAACGACGATGAAGAACATGACAACGAAGCTGACGATGAACCAGGCGAGCCACTGCACCGTCGCACGCAGGCCCATCGCTCTCATCACCTACACACACACACGAGCAGCATCACGCACCCAACCTCAGGGTTTCTTATACATATAGAGGCACAGTGGCGCACCGCCGTTGTCAAATTTAACAGCGCCGTTGTGAACATTTTCCTGTATTTACCCGCCGTTGTCAAAATAGTGTCACCCCAAAAGTAAATAGATGACCATGTGCTTCTGGCATATTGAGAATGCCATGTGCGCTTATTGAGTCATGTGATGCGGCGTCTACACTTTTCCTACGGCCTACGGGCACGCCTTTGAATCCATCATGCACGTTTTTTCCCCAAACTGGCCATTACCTCCTTTGTCTAAGTTTCCCTCAGAAGAACCCCTGCAACGTACTTACTGACGTGCGTGAAGCGCAACAACAACCACTCAGATGCAAATTCAAGAGCTTGGGAGTTTAAAAACACAAAACCAAAAAATGCAAATGAAGGCAAAAATTCAGATGAAGGTTTTCGGAATGGTCCACTCTCGCTAGTGACTTCTCACCTGCTCTATGCGACGGTGCATGATCTTGTTACGAGTCATCACACCGACAGACACCCCCATAGAAATGGCCAACAGCATAGGAAGTAAAGCTGATCGGTATGTCGCGAACCTGCCAAACAGCAAACATCGCACACCCTAACTAAACACGGTTTTAAATAAGCCTTATAAATACAAACAATTTTCATGACGAGTTGGCAATGACACTCGCAAATACTAGTACGTGCATAAATTACTCCACTACATTATTTTTACTCTTGTCCGAGCATTTCATTTGACTGATCCATGGATTATAGTCCAACCACGCAGGCAAACATATGACAGCTCTGTCTACACTACATCCATATCTTAGACTTTCACTCACACATCCTTTTCGTAACATGGGTAGGGGAGCTGCTGGGTGTAGATGGCCGGCAACTCCACGTCGGCGCCCGTCTGTAGTTTGATGATTGCCTGGTCTATCATATCCTGCAGCTGAATGAAGCCTCGCAGGTAGCGCAAGTCATCTGCAGCATCGTCTCTAGGTCCTGGAATCCAGAGGCTGCGCAACACAGAAAACGGTGAGACTACTGAGCAACCTGCATTAGTAGGCCTAAGAAAAAAAATGTTTGTTTCCGCTAACGAGCTGAAAAAATTGGACACAGTAGGCAGGCAAAACTTTTTTTTATCAAATATTTTTTATTGTATTCTAACAATACTTGTTTTATACTTATAACAGCCCCTATAATGACTTCAAAGTCAAATCAATTCATTCACCGATCGATATCACGTTGGGATTTTTGTTATTAAAAAAAAAAATTATTTGCCGATCACAATAAAAACTTTTGACACGGCGGTTTAAAATGGACTCGGTCGGGTTAGCGGAAACAAACGTCTTTTATTTTAGGCCTTAGTAGTTAGGGTTCAGCTGCCACGTACTACTACCAATAATAAGTTAATTAAGTCTAACTAACTATCTTTAGTTCTGTTACGACATCCTATTGCTTTAAATGTTGAACATTGAAGTCTGAGTTACGTGTTTACACGTCATATCTTGATAGAGTACAGAGTTGGTTGACTTGTTTGTGTAAACATATTAATAATCTGTGTAAGTTTTCATCCTAAAAAGGAAGATGTATTATATTGGAACCATTAAGAAAAATAGATTTGAGGTTCCAACACGAACACTTCTGTGTTCAACTTACTAATTTTTCAGCTGCCTAGTGATCGGAACATTGTCTATATCCATGCGTATTTTGTACTTAATGTGCTTGGGTAGGCTCGTTTGACGCTTGCTTCTCTTTCCCTCCTTCCCGACGTCAAATATTACACCTAGCAGAAAAAAGCAGTTGTGAGTACACCTACCAAGTGGTCTTATATTACCATTATATGCCAAGATTACTGTACATGACCAGATATTTTACCTGCTAGTATGTTTCCTTTCTCAGTAGCCTTCAGCCCAATGCTATGCTTCACCATGTAATCAATATCTTCTTCACTTGGAAGACCCACAAATCTGGAACAACACAGAAACATTGATAACGCTACACCCCACCACAGCTTGACTCTTTGTATTCGAGGCAGCAAATCCTTGCTCTTTGTGGTTCGAAATCGTTGTTCTATTACTCAGTTATACTCAAATTCGTACGATTCGCTCTCCGCAACGTAGCGCCGTATCGATGTTAAATACTCAACGATGTAGATAACAACATGAGTGGGAAGATTAATTAGTATATAATATTAACTATGGTTAGGTAACATCAAACTTGGAGTAATCATTCTGACTAATCATCATTTAGTATGATTACTCCAAGCATTAAATATGGTTAGTTACAGCTGCTGTGGTGCGCACCTATCCAGTGTGACGCAGTGTGAGATGTTAGCGACCAACTCTCCCATGATGGCCAGCGACGAGACCGTGTCATTCAGCTCGCCGAGCTCCAGCGTTGATAGACGCTCCAGGAAGACCATGATGTCGTCCGTGCTCACGCCGACACTCTGCTTCATCGCACCTCCGATGTACGGGTTTGACAGAGCCGACTGATGGTGAGAGAAACAGGTCAGATTGAACATGACCCACACGTACAGATGCACGCGCACACAAGCATGCACGCAGGCACAGGCACACAAGTATGCACACGCGTGCTCACACACTCACACGCACACAAGCATGCACACACACACACACACACGCACGCATGCACGCACACACACACACACACACACACACACACACACATACCATACAACACACGCACACAGCATGCATGCAAACACACACACACACACACACACACACACACACACACACGCGCGCGCACACACACACACACACTCACATGCAAACGCTCACACACACACACCATAAATCCACTAATAATCGACCTGATTAAGTGAGAAATGCTCCTTAGACATTGGTGTCAAGTTGACCAAGCTGAACCATGTTGTACTTGCGCGTGCAAATGCGCACGCCTAAATACTGACTTTGGGGTATTGTATCACTAATATTTTTTTTAAAGAATATTCAATCACAACGCTGATTGCGAGAGGTGTCTGTGAATCAGGCCAGGCAGATTCATGTCAATTGTGTATTACTTACACTACAGGTATAGACAGGAATGCAGCCATTACCTTCAGGGATCCGAGGTTCTTGGCAACTTGCTTCAGACTGCTCAGTTTCCTCATGTTTCCTACCGTTCTTGCCATTCTGACCATCTCAACCATATTCTCAAATGTCGTGTTTGCCTGCACAAGACATAAGCATGAGCACAGAACCTATTATATAACAACACAAACAGCTGCTAGCCTTGCTAGTTATAACTACAACTGTAATTACTACTTGATGCACAGATATTGTTTCGACAACATATGAAATAGAATATGCTATACATCACCCGTCAACCACCTGCTGCAATCCTTAACATTATGAGCTAGATCGTAACATGATGTTACAAGATCTATTCTAGAAGGACTCGCCTATCGCGTGGTATCTGTGGCACGAATTGGTTATAAGTACCTGGCGGATGATAGCACGCGTGATGGGTGTGTCTGGTGCAAACAGGATCTTGCCACGCAGCACAGGTTTCAGGTAGCTCCAAATGACACCTCCGCCATCGCTAAGCATCAAGTCTTTGTACATCCTACGACAGAACTGGGCTGCAAAGTAGTGCAGTAGATTGACTTGTCAGTATATCCTATCTAGTATGACAGGAACGAGTACCTACTCTGAGATATATATGGCTTTACTCAGAATTTTCTATAGGAATGGTTTGACAAGCCAATTCCACAAGCCAGAAAAACAGTGAAGATTCAAAAATAAATTATTGACAGACTAATTACAACAAAACTGTCATATTGACCAATTTTTGAGTAGAATTTTTTTTATTCGATGTTTTTTGTAATTGACATGCTATCATTTTGTAATTAGCTGAATCGTTTATAATTCTATATTGTGGCCAATATCTAGGCAATGAACAATAATGTGATCAATCGTGTCATAATGTAAAATAAGAGGTGTCATTTTCATTTAAAGAGATACACCCTTTTGGGAATCAGAGCTACTTTAGACATGGAATAGGTTTGTCAAATAATCCTTCGAGAAAAATTCTAAAGTAAAGCCATCTACCCCTTAAATTGATAAGAATATACCATAACATAAACAGGTCGTGGGAGTAATAATAATGGAGAGTTAAATACCACCACCACGATAACACTATATATCAGTCACTAGTTCAGCAACGCACGCTTTTTGATGTGAAACAATTCACTACCGGTGAAGCCATTGACTCACTTGTGAAGCCGTTCATCTCTTTGAGGTGGTCGGCGGAGAGTCCATCGCTTCCAGCGGCGGTCGACACCAAGTGGAACTGGTCCTCTAGCTTCGACAGATCGCCCTCACTGCACATCACCTCGCTGATAGCTTTCAGGGCCTCGGGGCCTGCAATAAACAACCGTAAAAGCTTCCGTTTCACACAGCAACTGGGAAAACCATGTTGTGTTGAAAGCGAGCAAATCATATTGCAGCCAGTGCATGCAGGCAGTACAAGCAGGCAGCACACACGGGCTGTACAAGCAGGCAGTACAAACAGTAGCACACACAGGCAGTACAAGTAGGCAGTACATGCATGCTGCAGGCAGAACATGCAGGCAGTACACACAGGCAGTACATGCATAATGCAGGCAGTACATGCAGGCAGTAAACGCGGGCAGTACACAGAGGCAGCACACACAAGCAGTACATGCAGGCAGTAAAAGCGGGCAGTACACGCAGGCAGTACACACAGGCAGTACAAGCAGGCAGTATGTGGGAGGTGTCGTACCAAGAGGATCGTTCCGTTCAACGGCGTCTGTGATGCCCTTGAAAGTGTCACCAAGGTCGATGGTGGACAGCTCGTCATTGAGGGAGCTCATAAATGCGCCCATGTCTTTACTCGCCTCCGCCATGCTTTCAACAAGCGTAGCCACCTTTTCAGATGTGTACCCGGCATTTGTGATGACCTCATCGGTTGCCAACGACACAAACTGAAATGACACATTAACAGAGCAATTAATATTCGTTTCTAAGATATATCTTTGGATTTAGATTTTTATTAGTACTGATTGACTCCAAACCACGTTTGGACCGAGTCCAGACAAATTTTAACATTGTGACATACACGATCACTGCATAACGAATGACTACAAACGTGCATAAAGAAACCGTTTCCATAGCAACCTGCTGCACAAGCTGGCCAATGCTCAGATGCTTGATAATTTCCGTCATCAGACTGGATAACTTGTCGGGGTCGATTGCGCACAGGGCTTCGGAGACGTGCGTAACGTTGGTGCCAGGCTCGAAGCTAAGTGTCTTATGCAACCGGATCGGACTGCAGGCGATGTCCTTCACTTCACCCAGGTTCAACAAGATCTGCCCATCATAAAATAATTGCGTTGAGCATACTATCCATTAATCGAAAAGAGTGATAAGGAACATCACCACGCCCAATCCGCGAGGCTTAACAGCAACGCAAACAGAAATTAATGCAGCCAGCTATATCGTGTGAAAGATCAGAGCACATAAGAGTGTAGCGTTCAATGTCCTTTTACGAACCTCATTCACATGTAGGGATGAATTCATGATGGTCTGCACCACTAAGGGTGACAGATTAATAGGGTCCGACTCCATCAACCGCGCTAGCTCTTCAGGTTTAATTAGCAAGTTCCTCAGGGGTACTGAAAAGAGAGTTACTCAGATATTACGAATGATGTACTTTTCGTCATTTTACAAAAAAGCAACAGTTACCGTTATTTTAGTATATCTGTTACAGTTAAACCGCGTGCACGCATGCTAAACTTTCACATCATGTGGCAAATTATCAGAAACTTACCAGAGACATTGGTCCTTGATACAAAGTACCTGAGCAGCTTCAGTCCTTTAACTCCACGACTGATAGTCCTCAGCTCCTGGATAATAGTGCTGTTTTCATCTATGCCCCCCAGCCCTAAAAATGCTTCCATGAGCCCTTGCAGTCTGTTGAACAGAAACACTCATGAACGCAATCTGAACAGTGTCAAGATCAGTCACATAAAATGTACAAGATGCGAATTATTAAAAATGCTGCCCCCCGTTAAAAAAAACGTCATAAATGTTCGTATACACACTACTATTCTTTAATTACCACAAAAAATGTCCCTAAAACGCCACGTTTAGCACACAAAAAACCTTAATTGTGACTTGATTAATGTAGTTCGCAAAATGTTTAAAAAAAAAACATCCCTACTGAGCCCAGTTAACCCGTCCCCTCCTGTCCTCTACACTCGACTAGCAGCGTGTCAGGCACTCACCCGTCAGCCAATTTCCCGACACTCGTCTCGTTCAGCACCGTGTTAACGACCTCAACGACGTTCGAAATGTCAAGGTCGACTAGATCAAACTTGCTGAGGTCAATCACAACACCTTGCTCGAGTAGCAGCTTGAGATTTGACGTGATGACGCCGAGCCGCATAGCGAGATCCTTGAGAAACTCGGATGGAGTGTCCGACGCCAGTGAGATGTACTCTGATCAGACGACAACAATACAGTCTCAGTACGTGAGGCAGCTGCCACATAGAGATGAGAAGAACTCGAGCACATCAAGCTACACACAAGGTCATTACATTTCCATTAAGTTAAATATTCAGGTAAGACAAAACAAAATGCGATTTCCGTAAAAAATTTGTAATATACACTGTTTCTTAAATTACCCTTGCACAGCTGGCCTAGTAATTGTTTTTCTAACAAAAACTATTCAAGATATGAGTCGTCGTGGGTATATGAATTGCTAGTTTATCAGAGTGACCAATTTCGTGTTAAAAATCACAGTAAATGTGTAATCCTTGCTGTAAAGTTTCACACAAGTTCTGCAGGACTTGCTACAATTGCACATCGTTACCAATGTAACAAACTGTAACAATAGTACCATCTATGTTTACTACCATAATATGTTTTACACAGCAGCATGATACCTGGCAACTTGATTGAGATTGTGTCCAAGGTCTTCTGCAGTTCAGCAGGGTCCGTTATCTTCAGAATCTCCTGCACGATGGCGTTGTCTTGCAGTAGAGGCACAGTGGTGGCTATTACCTCAATGAACCTGCAGCATTCACAGACACACACGCCGAGGTTCAAATAACCAAATCCAAAGCCTTCCCGAGTATACGCTCAGTCTTGCCTTGCCGAAATGCATTTGCTCATCAAAACAGATTAGCAAGTAAAACGAAATGACGCAAACACAGGTCAAAAGAAATTTTACACGTATTCAAACTGAGGATGGTATTTTGAGTTGGTCACAAATGACCATTGAGCACTGCGATAAGCTGATATTTCCAAGAAACACTTTCCTAACAGTAATCTATGCAACCCTATACAACCACCTTGCCATGACACATGATTGAACATTAGCATAACGTACGTCTCAAACGTAACCTGCGTCTCCATGTAAAATATATGTCTACGTCTACTTGTACACGTACGTGTACGTGTACACGTATGTCTGACTGCGTGTGGGTGTGCGTCTGCATGTACGTGTATGTGTACGTCTACGTGTACGTATACGTGTGCGTGTGCGTCTACGTCTCCGTCTACGTGTTGAACATAACCTACGTGTCCAACTCGCTCCACAGCTGCGCCTCGCCGACATTCTGCAGACAGGTGAGGTAGCGTTGCTGCACAGCGGGATCGGTGATGTCACGGTAGATGCTGGGCAGCAGCGTGGCGAGGCGTGACGTGTACTGCGCCGACTCACGGCAGCTAAACGCGCCCGTAAGGTTGCCCTCACTCAAAGCCGTCACCTGAGTGCGATCGATCGTCAATCGTTAAAGTGATTACGTCACCGTAAATAGTAGAAGTAAAAAAATTATGTCCACTTTTTCACAAAATGTAAGTGATTCTGTTAACTTTTTATGGTTAAATTGCTACATTATACTTCCTATTTTGCTATTCCGTTCGATGTGAACAAACACTCGTGACTCATACATATAGCCCATAGCCCCAAGCATTTAATGTCGTGATCAATATATCAAATCGCCCAGATTTTTTGATTTTTAACTAGTTGAGAAACAATCTTATCAGGTAATAATTTGAGGATACATTTAGTGCCGTTAGTACTTACATTTCATGTAAAAAATTGCAACAAATATTTTACAAATATACACCATAGAAAATTCGTGACGTAGTCAATTTAAGGACAGCGACTGTGTAAGGTTTTCAAGTCAACAGAGCATTCGTAACATCGTCATGCTAGGCACGGCGCCGACCGTAAAGTATTCTGGCTTGCAATTCGCGATCGACATTGCTTACATGATACCCGCGTACAGTAATACCCCGTGTTACGATAACTCGGGTTGCGTAAACTTGCTCTTACGTAATCTGTAAATTATTATCAAAACTTTGGATTCTCGCAAAAACCAAACGCTAGGTAAAAATATAATATATAATATAATAACTAGACTGTAATATAATAATAGAAAAAACTATAACGATAATACCTGAAACTGCTTGTTTACCTTTAAAGTGATCTCAGCAATTCGTAGGTCGACGATAGAACGGCTGTAGAACGCGCTAAAGTTCAGATGTGGCATGTCGCATATGATATCTCCCAGAACTACAACAAGACAGATATGAATGAAACATCTGCCGGCAGCCCAGGGGCGTGGACATCTTCACGTATGTCCTCTACAGCCCATAGGTGATTACTTGCACAGTCATTGTGGCCAAACTCTTGAAACTATTATCTCACGCCTATAATTTAACCATGAAGTAATAATACCTACTGCAGGAAATGCTGCCATATTGCTCTTCAAAATTTACCAGTGTGAGGCGTGTTAATCCAATAAGGTTCCAATTTTATTTCATTCATAAACTCCGTTTTCCCTCTAATTGCGCGATTGGGATATAAACAGTGGCTATCTCTACCTGGTAGCACTTCCAGCTGATCGATCAACAGCTCTTGCAGTCTGAGTTTGTAGAGCAGGTCACTTTCTTCAATCACAAAATGGGAGTTATACTTGCGCTGCTCTGCCAGCCCGGCCAGACATATCTGCTCTATATCCCTACAGAGCAACGTCAGTTTCAATGATTCCTTGCGATTGCAAGCAACAAAAGTCACAAGTCGCTACCTTGTTACCGAATGTGATTAACTGCGAAAAATAACATTGTGCAAAAGTATATAGGTATATAAATTCTTATCATTAGAACCATGAGTGCCTTTAAGAATTTAATATAGTGCATCTAATAGAATTTTGATAAATATTTTGGAAGAATACATTGAGAAACCTCATAATAGTTCATATTCTACTGCAAATAAAACGTCGACTTGCGAATAAACTACTTGCGATCTATCATGAACATGACGATCTGTCATAATTACAATTGTTATCTTATATTGTGATTACTTTGTCACACGCAACCGCACCCTGCTGAGATAAAGCATGCACACACGTGATACAACACATAACGTTTCACCAACCCATCAATTAGAAAATCAAGGTAACGATCGAAAAATTAGCGAGAACCCCGATCAATCGAACACTGTAAACCGTCCCACACCACTCACTCGACACTTCCGAGCTGACCCAGCTCCTGAAGCGTGAAGTTCCAGAACGATTCCCAGCATGCAGACACGCGCGGCAGCAGCGACGGCGCACTGCCCTGGTGGGCTCGCTCCATCAGTACCCGCCGCAGCTCATCGAATGCCGCTGTGTGACTGGAGCAGGACTCCTCTTCAGGCGATCTATCCTCTATCATCCTCTTCACCTGCAGGATACAAGATTCACAATTGAAAAAAATAATTTCAAATATAAATTAAACTGCCACCATCAATCGAACAATAAATTAATAAATAACGAAGACTTATGCAGTGACTAATACCAGATATTAATCAATAAATAGAATAAACAATTCAATTAACCAACATCAGCTATCAACCATCTTGGGGTAACATACCATGGGCTGAATCTGTTCAGTGATCATCGTCTGAATTTCGGATGCTCCTGGACTTAGCAGCTGACAAAGCAGAGTGTCCAGCGGAGGCAGAGCCCGACTCAGCTCCGTGACAATGCTGGCCGCCAGGTGGTTCTGGGAGATGACGTGCGACAGCTGCACAAACCACTCCTCCCTTCCAAACACCATCTGCGCAGCTTCACAGAACGCCTCCGCACTGCGTGAGAGCAATATGCTACATCAGCCAGAAAACATATATACGTATACCATATACATATTACATATATATATATATATATATATATATATATTAATATATATTGAATAGATTTATATATATACATCAGCCAGGTGGTCGGTAACCACAGCCTACTCATATAATAATACAGCCAAGGTCGGTCGTCACCTTACAGTGACCTTCAGGCACACCGGTATAATCAGTACACACGTAAAGTAATAAGTCTCCACTGTGGTGATGGATGCAAGAACGGGTAGTGTGCATACAGCACACAGCATTACACGACATGACAGCAGAAAAGGCTGCCTCTTACCTAGCATCGGTTGTGTTATCAGCCTTATTTAGCAGAGGCAGGATGTAGTTGGAGATCGTTGCCATGATGCTGCCGCTGTCGTAGCTCTGCCGAGACAGTTCGTCTACATTGGATATTAGCTTTATCAGCTGCTCCTTGATATAGTCGAAATGGATCTCACGAGCCGGCACGGCGTTGCCATCTCTTGCATGGAGAATGCGTTGGATCTGTGAACGCAGAAGATGAAACCCATCGCTTAAAGCACGGAGCTGCAAGTTACACGCACACACACACGGACGCACGCACGCACGCACGCACGCACGCACGCACGCACGCATGATGCTCGCGATAACAGTTTGCGGAGAATGCAAGTGACTTGCACATGCAAAAACCTTAAAACCTTTAAACCTTTTTTTTAACTTTCAAAATTTGGCCTGTATTTAAAATATATTAAATCGGGTATGTGTACGATACCACAAGCTTCGCTTCGTTTGGACACAAGCTCGTAACACACTGACTAATGCAAATGCGCCTGGATAACCAAACCACCGTACAGTGGCAGCACGTTCCCTCACCTCAGACACAAGCATGCGCATGTCAACCATGCCAAAGAGGTCGTCGAGGATGGAGGCATTGTAGCGCGCGATGCGGCACATCATCTGCTGAATGGTACCGACGTCGGCGGGGTCCGTCGACTTGGGGAAGAAGAAGAGGTAGTGGAACTCCGTCTCGTTGCACATGTGCTCCTCCCATTCGCCGGATTGCACGAGGTAGAACATCTAGGAGACGAAACCCGAGTCACATTACCGACTAAACTTAACTGTGTGTTAACTTTATGTTTCTGTAGAATTATAGGAAGTGTCTTTACGCTGTTATACACTGCTATCAATCAGTGTTACAATTGTTACCTGGGTTAGGTGGCAACTGTGCTGCCACCTGTAGTCACATTACTGTGCAAGTCTAAATAGCCAGGTGCCAGAAATGTTATAGCTGCTGGGATACGTACGACTGTGCAACCGTTATAGCGTCTTCACGTTGGTTTATTTTATTGCGCAGAACATCACTAAGCTTAGGAAGAATACCAACTCTTCAGCAAACTCTTTACAAACGAATTTCAGCACGGCAGTGTGTGTCGATCGTTCGTCTAGTATATTCCAGCAATAGTTTTAAAGATGACAGCTTCGTTGTTTACCTCTTTTGGGTTGATAGATGTTGTAAGGAGCACGGTGGAATATTCTCTTTCACTCATCTTTTCCAAGATTGACTCTGCCTTCTTGATATCGGGCAGCAGAGCACTTAGTTGGGGACTAGTATCATCCGTTGCTGAAACAGAAGCATGCCAGCGTAATGCAGCAAGTAATGTATCTCACTTCCACTCTCACACTGCAACACTTCACTCTAGGTGCTCAACTTCATATGCTTCATCCGACTGCAGAAGTCAGAACACTTGCCCATACGCACTACACACTGTCTAACAAATACATATTACTACAGTGACACTTTTCAATCAAGCAAATATTGATACATCGTTAGACAGAATTCATCACAACTGGCTGTTTTGGTCGAATGTGTATGGACAACACTTCGTCTATCCAGAGTGAGAAACTATATAGTTCTCGTGCCTACCACATTCCTTAAGATCTCACCTGGTGACAATGCCAGTTCACACTAGTATCGTACATCGCAGTTGCATGTCAAGTTAACAAGTAGTGACCTTTATACAATGACTGTGACCCTAACACTTACCCTGCAAGTAGGGCAGCTGTTTATTAAGATATTCCATTATCTTAGCAGCCGACAATAGTGTGTCCAGCGGATATGTCCACCTGCTGGCTGCAGAACCATTCAAGGCATATATCCTGTTGAGCTCATTCACTAGCCTATTGAGCAGGGATAAATATAAAGCATATATTTTCCACATTTCTGAGAGAGGAAGACGGAGAAGGACATAAAGAGAGAAACCCCTACACATAGCCATATGCAAATATATACATTTTAGCATTAGAGCATCTGTTCTAACGGCAAAACATCTCTTGTCAATCACTAACCTGAACATCACCACCATTCATAACTGACCTAGCCACGCAGGTGAGTATGCCACACACACACAACACGCACGCACGCATGCACGCACGCACGCACGCACGCACGCACGCACGCACGCACACACATCTAGCATATTATTGCTATGTTGGTCAAGCTCACTCCGCTGTCATGTATGCGTGCACGTTTGTATCCAAAAATGGTAACTTCACAGCACAACGTTACTAAACATGGCTCTTCATGAACATGTATACTTGCAGGAGCCGAATGATAAGAGAACGTTTCGTTTGTTGTTTAAAGTTCTTTGCTTTAGTTTACGACATACAGAAAATGGAATCGTTTCAAAATTAAAGTACCCTTTGCAATGAAGCAATAAACGGTTGACATATGAAACGACTTCAAGGAATCACTCAGGCATGGAGGTAACAGGAGCCTCAAAAGCTACAATAAAGATACTCCCTGACTTACGAACATTTGAGTTACAAACTTTCGATGATACAAACAATTTGCCCTAAGTCGAAAAAAATGTAGGCGCAATGTTTAGTTTTCAGATCCGCCGCGTGATGACACAATCGCCCCCCCCCCTGATTTTGAATTTCGCCAACTCCTGTGTTCACGTATATGTTTACACTATGTACATTTCGAGGTTACTCGATGTTCGCACGTACATATAATACACTACTGTACAATACTGTATACGTACGACTACGTACATATGTTCGACGTACGAACAAATGGACTTACGAATGACCGCTCAGAACCGAACCTGTTCGTAAGTCGGGGAGTCTCTGTACTCACGTGTCAATGACAACGTCAGCAACGTCGTGTGCTGGTCTGTCCTCAAGGTCGTCGCTGCTCAGCATTCCCTCGCGAAGGTTCATGAGTCGCTGGGTCAGCCACCAGAGGTCCTCGTTCCTGCGCGTGGCATCCTCCTGCTGCCTCCTGGTAAGCTCTGGGTCGGTGGCGCCCTCTACTGCCAGTTCGAGATCGTCGTCGCTCACGTTGGCATAGAGCTATGCCATTGTGAGAACACCGATTAGATATTTTTTATCTAGCCTCAAGTCGGTTGGTAAAATAGACACGGATTACACTGCATCTAAGGAAAACTCCATCACACAAATTTTGTAACGTTGCTCACTCATGTTTGTAAGAGAATTTTATTTCATTACTGAGAGTTTTAACTGTTATTACAAATGTTACGGTCAAGTTATTACAAACGGGCATTGTTGCATTGTTACTACATATGCTGGGATAGAGTGATTACAAAAGCAACGCTTACTACAAAAGAGGTATATGTGCATACGCATGCGATATCATATCTTCCTTACCCGTGTTATCACGTAGAACATCTCAGAACGTGACAGGCCGAGGTCCAAGAGAGCTAAATGCCAACTAGCCGTGTTGTTGCAGAGAGCACCAAGCAGTTGCGTGTGATTTAATGCCGTGAATGTTTGCTGGACGTAGGCGGGGTTGCAGACAGCCGACGCTGTGGCAGGAACGTTGCTTAGCCGGTCAGCGTCATGCTGCACGAAGGAACATCAAAGGATGATTTATTTCCCAAATACATCCACAAATACAAATGTTGTAAAATACATTCTTCTCACTTACTAGTGAATATGCTACTTATTACACCAACTTGAAATTCACTAATGATGCAGGATGGGGATCGACCTGTTAAGTTAACAGATGTTCGAGTAAATACCTGCAGTGACCCACACAAGATATCAAGAGCTACTGGTAAAATGCCTTTTCTGCTAGTGGAACACCATAAAAATCCTACCATGAAGAGAAAGTCACTAGCAGTGAAAATCCTGTCGCCCGTTTCCAGGAAGGAATCAAGTATGTAGGGCAAAACAGACTTGCTCTGATACTTCAAGGATGCCAAGGACACACCGTTGCCTGCAAAATGTTTTCAATAGCTATTATGTGTATGACATTACTGAATACTAATCACCGGGGTTAGGTGTATCACATCATCTTTAAGCTGACACTTACTGTAAGCATACACACGAACCTAAACAGTTTGGCGTCTAAAAATACCTTTCTATATAAAACTGAAATAAGTTTGATTTCTGCAGGCGTACACCGTTGTGTTTGTACCTCTCTATTTAATGCGAAACACTCGTATAACTAGTGAATGTACATGTTCGCTTTATTCTCTGTTTCACAACGAGGCTCCCTTGGCAGGAAGCAATCCTTATGCATACATAACATGCACCACCGACCCTGACCTTCGAGGCTACGTAGCGTTCCTATGACCTGATGGAGGAAGTAGTTGACGGATTGGTAGCGGTAGATGTCTCGCGGGTAATGACTCGGACCACCCAGCAGCCTCTGTTCTAGCGCTTCCCACACTGCAAATGTTCTGCAACGAAAAGAATCACTTGTTAGCGAATCACATACTAGATGGGTGAAGACACATATCTACCATCTAGCTGATATACTTATTCACATACTAGATGGATGTGAGCACGTTTATACCCGCATCTAGCGCGAACATATATTCACGTACTCGTTGGGTTGAACCGACGCAAGTCCCTCGAGCGCCACCCGCAGCAGAGGCTTGATCAGGCTGCCGTTGAAGAGCTGAGCGAGAGGGTCGGTCTTCATGACAACCGGGACACGCCCCATGATGATGCTGTTGACAAGATATGACGGACTCTCTATGTCTGCGTACAGATGTCTCCAGTCGAGCGCAGATGCATTGAAGTCAGGTCGTTCAATGTCCATTATCTATATGGGGAAAGAGCACCATTTGGTATGACGTTGAAAGCGATACAAACACACCGGTACACGCCACAACAGATAAGTGAGAAAAGGCCAAAGATTAAAAAAAGCCAAAGTGCAAAAATAGTTTTTTTAAAGTAAAAATTTGTTAATAAAAAAATTTAAGCCACAGTGCAAAAGATTACACTGTCACAGACCAAGGTGACTATAAACAGCCCACGTGATCACCTCCTGGATCAAGCGAGATAAATCGACGTCGAGCAACAATGCGTCTCTTAAAGTGGTGACATTGATGCTGCACAGCGCCCCCTTCAGCTCATCTAAAGTAGTCGTTGCAGCAGACTGCAGGTGGAGCCACTCGTTCAGAGAGCTGTTGCAGAGCAGCTGTCGAGGGTCATCAGAGACGAACAGTAGCGCCACCTGTGGTGTAGCATGGAATGTAGATGATGATGAACAAGTGAAGAGTCATGATGCTAGGCTTCGTGAAGCGGATGCATTTCATTATGGCAAATAAATTTTTCGCGGTCATTTCACACTCAAACGCAACACGAATGGAATACAACGTGATTATGCGTAGTTTGAATTGTTTAAAAATAACTCTAATCACATAATATTATCAAGATTATTATTATTCACAACCTAACAACATATATAGTTTTATATCCGACATTTTCACAAGCTTCCACTGTAGTTAATGCGGATAGAGAGTAAAAGTGGCAAACACTAGTACAGCTATTGCGATACCATCTCGCGGACTCCTACGTGACTAGGTCGCCACGCTTACATTCTGTGGACGGACATCCGCGCCGAACAAGTCTGTAAGAACCACCTCATCTATGGCCAGTAGGTTCTTCAGTAGTGACGCCCCCTGGTAGCTATTATTGTAGAGACTAGCAAATGGAAGAAGACGCCCTGCCGACAAACAACAAACTGTTAAACCTATTATAGGTAATAGTGGGCAGTTTCCTTCTTATATATACCACTTATATCTTATATATACAACAGCGTCGTATTAAAGTATGATTACACAACCATCCACAGGATTATCTCCTGTGAAATCAGTAAGAATCAATACGTTTCCCAGATAAATCCACTCCATAAATGTATACAGACCTTAAATGTTACCCAGGGCTATATTTTGTACACTATGTTATTTGAAATCACCCTCACTCTGCTATTGCTGTTAGTCATAAGTGCAAAAATTAGGAACAAGTGAAGGATTTAATGAAGGCACATATAGTAATACGGATTATTATGAAAAACCAACATACCAGTTGTCCTGATTCCTTCCAATTCACGAATGGCGAATTGATTGAGAGCATTATAGATATGAAGCCATTTAAGGATTCTCTCATCTGCTTGGGCAAGGAGAGGAGTCAGTACCTCCAGATTTGACAACAGCCTACAACACAACAGGTGAATTCTCTAGCGATTAAATGGCTGTTGAAGATTACCAGTGTTGATAATCGCTGCTTGACTAGTTGTGTTACAGTTTCTGCACCTACGTATACCACGTTCTAAATGCCTTTAACACACTGAAGATATCTGTTTGATAGCATGATTTGAGAATGTCTCAACACAGTTTTTATAAAGTGTTTAATCAATAACTATAGCAAGTGAGCTTGTCGCAGCTGGCAAAACCTGAATTGCAGTATTTAATGCAAAAGCAATGCCTAAGCAAATGCACATCTCTTCCATCTCACAAAAGAACTTACGTGTTATCGATGTGATCCGATTCAGCATATCTGAACAGGGCATCCTGGATATCTCTCAACCACTCGCTACTATTGCCTTCAAACAGGAAAAACTTGTCGACAGAGTCGACCGGCTCTCCGGGCAGAAGATGCGCTACATTCACAACTCGCTGGATATTCATCACTGTTGTGGTCAAGTTCAACGGTGCGACAGGGTCATCTGTGTCCAACTTGGACAACTGAAGGTGATACAGAAATGATACGAGATGCTCAAATGTCAGTGTATACAAACCAATACTATGAAAACTGAATGAAGATAAAGAAAAAGACGAAGATAAGTTAACGTAATGGTACACTGCTTCATACTCTTCAGGACGTATTAATTCCTCGTGTTTAATTCCCGAGAGGGATTGTAATAGTATAATAATACACGCTCGATAACCATACCTCGCGCACAACTCGCGGCCACATGGTCGCTAAACTCAGCTCAATACTGATCGCAGTCCAGTTAGTAGAGCAGAGAAGTCTCGCTAGCACAGTTGGGTCGACGTGATCCGGGAATAGCCACATGTCATCGAGCTCATTCTCTGCCTTGCATAGTTGGAGCTTTGTGTTGTTAATCAGAGCCTGCAAGAAAACACTTACACGTTTAGCCAAGCAGATTTTGTCGATGCATTAAACTGCATCAGTGATACCGTAGATCAATTTCAACCTCAGTGAGACCACAGTTGACTGCAGCAGCAGTGAGCTGATCAAAGGCAATTCCAACGCAGACACATGCAAGATGGATCCTCACTAACTAACCGAACGACTTAATCACACTGAAAATTCACAACATACGAGTGATCCGAGCAGGACAGACATTTCCCTCAAACCAATTCTGGACACAACACGGCCCGACTGCCAATAAACAGACTGCCAGTACACCGTCGTGAATACATACACTGGGATTGAATGAGGCCGCCATCAGAGCATCAATATACTGTGGGGTGAGCTGGTAGACATCCCGTAAGAAGTTGCGCGCATTATTTTCTTCTGGCAGGAGGGTAGACAGCGTCAAATTGTCTGCAACAGCATGACATATTACACAACATACTAGACATAATACATTATACATTAGATTTCTAACAGAGGAATAGTCAAGTGCAATCTGCTCTTGCAAAAAACTGTCCATAAACAGACTTGCTACATACAGTTAATCACTACATGCAAAAGTCATCAACAATGAGATGAATGTCAACGTCATGGTGGTACTGACCTGCAAAGTTGATTATCTTTTCATCAAGGATGTCAACGATAATGTTGAAGGAGTTCAGGTAGATCTTTAGATCTCTATAGAAACTAGTATTGCCCAAGAGTGTCTCCAGCACTACTGTTGACTCCAATAAACTGAGGAAAAACCAGCCACTGTTATTACTGTTACTTACACTTAATAATACTATTACTATTCATTACTCACCCTTCATGCTATTTTGAGATAACATTAAATCATAGCCAATATCATAAACTGCCAGCATTCTATGATGATGGAGTTATACGCGAAAATAATCGTAGCAGGCGCGGTAGCATATTTCACTCGTGAAGTAACGAGTCGTTTGTAGTCATCTGTTTGTTCACTCACTCTGCCGGCTCTATCCCACGCAGGATCTCCTGCACATCCGATGTGATGAATGTCCGCTGAGCAAAGTGCTGCTTCAAATCAACATCTCCATAGTAGAAGGTGGATTCGTTGCCAGCGAATGGCAACAAAATGCTGTCCATGGTCTCGATGACATTCGTGTAGTCGATAAGTAGTCCCACTAGCTGTTGAACTGGCTGGTGGTTGACTGTGCCAGGCCCAGCTTCCAACTGCACAATAATGGCAAGGCCAAACAAATCAAAGATGGTAAGCGTGTCACAACACTGAAGCGTACACAGATTGTGTTTGGTCGAACAAATAGGACCATTCATTAAAGTGTGTATTTTAGATTGTCAACATAACTATCATGGATCGAATGTGATTTCGTTGTAAGGGGGTTGATTTTTAAAAGAAAGATTTTTCACCTCTTGGATGAGTCCCTGTATATCGAACAACCCTGTCAGCTCCTCTCTGAGCTGTGTAGCATTGATCTGACATAAAGCATCCTTTAGCTGTCCGGCATCCGTTGTATTAGGAAGGACGAAATACTCGTTTATGGAAGCTTCACTACACATTATTGTCTCAATGTCTGCAACGTTCATTGATGTTAGCTTGGAAATCTGTAGCAGTTAAAAATGTACCAATTACCGATTTGTAGCAAACACAATTTTTCTTCTAGAATATTTGTTACCCATCACATTTATTAATTCTAATAGACCTCAAGTCCAGATCGATTCACAAGGTTTGTCATATGTCACTTACAACTAAAGTAATCTCAACTTAAAATGTTAATAAAAAATCGTCATGAATTTCCAAGTACTGTAAAAAGCTTAAAAGACTATGACTGATCGATGATCAACACTACAAATCACAGCTAGGAGCTGAATCATGGCAGCCGAATCCTTCAGCGAGAAACTTTAATTCATGTTCTTTTACACGAAAATAGTTCAAACACTTTTTGAACAAAAACAAAAAAGCTCGTGGCAATCACCTTATCATATCTGACAGCACTTTTCAACAAGGTGTCAATGACGTCTGGTGCCAGACCAATTGCTAGGTCAAGAACTTTGCGAAGTTTTGGCGAGTTCTTAAACAGCGCTGTAATATTCACTTTACCATTCTCTCCTGAAATAGGCAAGCATCAATCCTCGTGTGAACCTGCATAGCTGAATGGTCTACATTTAAATGTGATGATAGAGTGCCAATATGATGATATAAGACACAATTACACCATATACATAACATCCACTCACGTTTTAAAGTGTTTAGCTTCTCAGTTATGTATTTGAATGCCACAACAGGACCCCGAGTGAATGATTCAACTCTCCCTTGGATGTCTACTGGTAGCAATCTCAGGTAATCATCTGCGATGCCAGCCATACTGTTACAAATAGAAGATTGCTGCAACAATCTACACGTTTATGGGTTAACTCTCACAGCTCAACACTGCCACGTTAGTTATTGCTTGTATAGCGGGTGCAATAACAGTATAAAATATCACACTATGCATATATGCACTCACGCTGTATCATAACTTTACCAAAACTTGCTCCTGCGGTGGATCTGTCGTTGAATTAATTCCTCCCTCACTACAATTTTAAATTGCTTACAACACTACAAAACACACACCACACGCCCGCAGACCTGCAGCTAACAAAATGCCACGACACTTACTATAATGCTTGTCTCTCTGCGCTTGACTGCAGTAGTATTTCGCTTTCATTCAGCGCACGCTGCCATTTATCGATATCGATGAAGAACACGTCGTCGATGAACACCGGCGGACTCTCCACCAGCTGCATAACTCGTGACTGCAAATTCTGAGCTTTGGTAAATGTTGCCAGGATATCCACGGGACTGCTATTGTTTTCCTAAAGAATCAACATGCACATATTGTCAACATTAACGAATATCGTTGCATAGCAAAAACTCTCCCAAGCCTAATGCTGTCACATATATATATATATTGACCAAAATTTCACGGCACGCTAGGTGATGGTACTGTAGCAGAGTGCGAAATTAACGGGAGTCCGTAGTCAAATACTCCCTGATTTACTGCCGGACTCCCTGATTTGACATATGCAGGAGTTCGTGTGACTCCCTGAAAATTCTGCCATACTAACTAGTTCATTCTAGAGCACGGCCTCATGGAATTACCGTATTTTTTCAGCAAATGTCCAAAGAAAATTTGGCAGACGTGCAACCGCATGAATCTTCAAAATAAGCACATGCGTTATTGTGAATATCTTTAATTTTGAACTTCAGACTGCGGACTCCCTCATTTTGCCGCGGACTCCCTCTTTTTGAGGGCAGGGAGTCCGTTGTACTCCCTTGTTCAAAAGTTAATTTCCACCACTGCTGTAGGGAGGTTCTACCCCTCTGTAGTATGGTTAGTACTTGTACGGTGTGTGGTGCACGTCAGTGACGATCGAAGACGTAGAGTATAACATAAATGGCTTTATTCTACATACGTTACGGCAGACATGAACGGCAACCTGCTGTGGCATGACCTGTAACATTACATTAGATCACACAAAAAGTGTCGAAGACAATGATCGAATCACGAAATGTATTGTAATTTAGGTTTATTATATAATTACCTGTAGAAACGTCAAGTCATCAAAGTTGAAGAAGGATATCAGCTCGGCCAGCAGCTGCGTGTAGTTGAGCTGGCAGATGGCAGTCTGCACGTTGCTATACTGCTCGGGGGAGAAGCCCGGGGTAGGGAGGATATCCTGCAGGCCATCGGTGCATAGCTTCTCCAGAAACTCCTCCCCTGGATACTGCTGCAGCGCCTGCTGCAACTACACATAAAACTCGTCAGTTTATTATTATTATATGAACCCAGGATTATATTACTAATGTAATAATCAAATCATTACACATGCTAAGTCAAACATTACCGACCAACTTTTTCACCTCCGGGGCAATCAAAACTGTAAATGAACACCCATCACCCAATAAACACAAGCATATGCAATTCATGGATACTGTCAAAAGCGTGTTACCTGTAAATGGTTTGACTGAAGTATGCTGTAGACTTCAGGTAACACAGGCAGGATCTTGCTAAATAAGTAGTAAAGCTGGGAGTCTGGTGGCAACAAATCCGACAAGCTGAGGTTACCATCTAGAAAGAAAGCACACATTTGCCTACAACCATTCGAATCAGAAATGCAGCAGAATGATGCAAAGGAATCAGACGTTTGCTAATTGTATTTGCTGATAACACTTGCACTGCAGATATAAAGTACATAATATAAGCTGCACACATTCGACAATGAATAAATTGACAATAATTCAAAAAATGGAAAAATTTACAAACAGTGCTTTTCCGCCAGATTTTCAACATGTGGTTATGGTAACACAAATACTCAAACAGATAAAATGGTCCCCGGTATCATCGGTGATTCACGTATAATTAATTGCATCCCAAAAGCGCGATCTCTTGCAAAGTTAGTAACTTACGAGGTGTGACGGCAGCAAGTTTAGAGTCGACCGTGTCCAATACTGTGTCAAGATTGCGGATAAATGCCCGTGCTTCGTCTGACTGTTGTACGATCGGTTGTAGAGCCTCCAAAGCCATGCTGAATGAGAAAAAGATACACATGTCAACCACGTAACATTGTTACCAGACGACTTTGAGAACGACATCACAGAAAAAACACATTGACAGCACTTAGCCGATATAAGTGGGTTCATTGTTCGTCTGCTGTCGACAGCAGTTATTTCAACACCCACTAATGCAGCTTTAGGTGTTGAGTTTTTACAGCTGAGTAGAGCTATGTTGAATGCGAGCAGCTTTGTAACTCTCTGGAAAACCAACACTATAGGGATAACATTTATCTAGAAATATTTTGTAATATATACCGATACAAATCCTCATTGTTGATCATCAGTTCAGTGACATATGGTGTGGTGAAATGACCATCAAGCTGTGTGCCATTGTAGACAAGGGAAGAGCTGTTCATCAGCTTATATATGGCACTTCTAAGCAGATCAGAACCGCTGAGGTAGTTAACCATCTGCTCAGTAAGACTAATGCTCTTTGATGCATTTGCTGCGTCAGATAGCTGAAAGATAAGTGAACAGTCAGTAAACAGTGAGCGAAGAATGCATCGCAAATGCTGGTTTACTCCAGTTACTTTTAAAAAGCCTTCATTTTTCACCATCTAATTCAATATGCATATGGCTAATGTGCATAGTAGTTTTGTCTATTGCTTAGATGGTAATTTAGACAGAAATGTATTTTTGATTAAATTCATCAGACTATGTCTAACAATACAGCAATGCAATTTAACCATCTTTCTAAGAAATTAAATGGAGACCAAACATGATAATTCCTTAGTGATGAATATGTAACCTGTATTATGAGTCCCTGTATATCGAACAGCCCTGCCAGCTCCTCTTTGAGCTGTGTAGCATTGATGTGACATAAAGCATCCTTTAGCTGTCCAGCATCCGTTGTATTGGGAAGGATGAAGTACTCGTTTATGGAAGCTTCACTACACAGAATTGCCTCAACACCCTCTGTTGATAAACTCTGCACCAAATCGGATATCTGCACAAACCACAAGTAATGTTTATAATATTTTCAGCCAATTTAAGTTACAACACGTTTAAACTGGCATTGTTGGGTAGCAGGCATAGGCTGGTTCTGCACAAGTTTGTTCTCAACAGAATCAGGATCAGACAGCTACAGTTGTGCGCATACCTTATCAATTCTGAGCGCACTCCTAAGGAATACATCGCTGATGTCTGGTCCCACGTCAAAATTCAACTGAAGAATCTTCTGCAGCTGTGTAGCATTCACAAACAGACTGGCAATGTCTACTGCCCCATCCTTGTCTGCAATGGGTGCATGAATGTATCAGTCACATTACGATTCAATAGGATTCTACTGCATTGTTTTGTAAAAAATTAAAACACATTTTAACACGAAAAGAAATGTCTAAGCTAAAACTGTAATAATAGAAGTACAAGATGACACATGCAGTGACCTTAATTAAGGATAAACTATGAAAACGAGTTATATTGCCTCTATAACGCCATATATTGCTAAATGTCACATGCAGTTGTTCCTTACAAAGTTATTGATTATGAAGAAGCCAAAATGACTATTAATCAGACTACATCTCAGTCTATTACAACGTGCTCTACATACTATAAGTGCAACGTGACTGGTTAATGTTACTAAATTGACAACTTACATGTTAATGAGTGAAGCAGCTGATTTGTGTAATCTAGCAACACCGATGAGACATAGTAATACGACTTCACCACTTGACCAAATGTAGTATCCTCCACGTACGGAAGAAACTGGTCCAATATATTAGCCAATCTTCAATAAACAAGAAAACAACATTCCTATTCTCAATGCTAGGCAATGATTCAATCGAGTTCACAAATTATACAGGGCTTAGCATTCGACGACTCTCAAGTACAAACCCTTACAACTACAAGACAGTGTGTCGGGGTTAGTCATGGCAGTGATTTAATTTTGTGCTGCGTGATCATACGTATTTCTGTAGCCAACAGTTGCCTAGTAACGTGAATACATGACCCAAGGTTGAGCATCGTGTTTAGAAACAATATTTCAGCTACTTCATATCTTATAAGCTTAATTCACTTTTAAACAAATGACATCTCACGATATGAACTAGTTTTTTTTGTACGTACAGCATAGGGTCCGTTGTGATGTTCAACAGAATGTTATTACTCTGAGCCACAGCCTCCTGCCACCTGGTGGTATTCATCCACGTGTCATCCTGTATGAACACAGGTGGCGACTGAACAATTGACACCACCATCTCTTGCAGTCTGTAGTATTTCATGAACGGCTGCCACGCATTAGGCTGAAAAATGATAAAATGTGTAATAGCGAATAAGCAGTAGCATGTATAGTATAAACTGTCTATGTGAAACTGGTTTTTGATGCACACCACTACACACGACATCATAGTGATACAAAATGATCGCAATTCGTTACTAAATGAATCAGACCACGAGTAGTAGGCAATCACAGAACAATGGTATTAGCATATGATGTACAGTAGGCAGTAAATGTAGTACTAGTATTTTCCTGAAGGGAAGACATGGATTAAACAGTTTCGTAATAAATGAATACCAATTGGAAATCTTCGTTTGTAATTTCATCGACGTTGAAGAAGGATATCAGCTCGGGCAGCAGCTGCGTGTAGTTGAGCTGGCAGATGGCAGTCTGCACGTTGCTATACTGCTCGGGGGAGAAGCCCGGAGTAGGGAGGATGTCCTGCAGGCCATCGGTGCATAGCTTCTCCAGAAACTCCTTCCCTGGATACTGCTGCAGCGCCTGCTGCAACTACACGCACACAGAACAAAGCTTTGTTGTGAAACTAGCTTTCTGAAATTCATTCACAGTCAACCTATATACAGGGGTATTAGTATATATTATTGTTTTGAAAGTACTAGGGCTAGTACTGGTATCAGGAGAGGCAAGACGAGGCCCTAAGGGCTGCGTGTAAACCCGTCGCACATTAATTAGTATCGAAGCTGGGTCCGGGGCATGAAATACAAGGCATGCAAGCCAAAGTGCGCGGCAGACTTCAGTGCGTGTCGAACAAAACCTCTATGCATATAGGGGTCACTCACAGCACATGCCCAAAGTGGCCCTTATAAACAGACGAGTGTTATAAAGGTAGTTACCCTATATAGCTACAACTCAGTAGCAATGCCAAGTGTCTTATATAGACGTTTAACTGCTAAAACATATTTGATTATACAGTAAATATAATTTCACGACATGAGGCGATAAATTTAAGGAAAATAGAACCAAGGGCACTGCTGCAAGTCTGTATAAATAACTACTAAGTAATGATTGGTAGCCCAAACATGATTGTTTCGTTTAGAATTGCTTATCAGTAGATGCAAATAATTCCACCAAGCAATTTATTTCTCTCATCACAGTGGTAATAGTGTGTTAATCATAATGATCAAGTATTCGACTATGAGTAGGATTTCGTTACCTTATTGTCAAGGCTATGACTTTGCCAGAGCACATAGACGTCTGGCATGACGGGCAGCAGGTTGGCTACCAGAGAGTACAGCTGGGAGTCTGGAGGAAACAGGTCTGACAGCGCAAACGACTCACCTACCAAGCGGGAAAAAAATTAAATATAGCAACACGATCTGGTGAACATCACGGGCACACCAGTATGACGCAGGTGACCAGGAGCGAAAACCTAAACCGCGTACAATCGAGTCATTCCATTTAACGCAGATTCGTATTTGCGAAGTCCGGATTATTTTGCGTTTGCCACACTGCTAGAAACTGCTGAGACGATGCTTACGAGTTGTGAGGTTAGCAAGCTTGGAGGTGATGGTGTCAATGACGGTGTCAAACACTGAGATGACTCGTTTTGCAGTTAGAGATTGTTCAGTGGCTTGCTGCAGCAGAGCGTCAAGCAAACTGAAACGGCAAAACAACAATGTCATGCCAAATTCTCACATACGTAACCGCCCAGGAGGGCCATCACATCGCTAACCATGTGGTTTCCACAAATGTACACTCGATCTAAACGAGTCTATAGTGGCCGTCACTACGCACAAACTGTAATAAATGCCTGCAAAGGAAATAGACTAACCTGTATTGATCCTCTAGGCTCAATGTTATTGGGATGGATGGGCCGCTGAAATTAGAGCCACTGTACTCTTCGACAAGGTCCAAATCTCCATAGCGAAGACTGGTGGTGTTCATCAGCCGATAAATAGCGCCACGTAGTAGATCAGAACTGTTGAAATACGTTTCTACGTGTTGCGCAAGATAGATGCTGTTCACTGCACTGGCTTCCTCAGAAAGCTGTAAAACAAATGCTAAGGTTAACCACTTATGTTATAGGAATTGATGGGGATGATCGACAACAGCATATCAATGACAAATTCAGAGCATCCATGGACTAACATCTACAGTCGACTTTTGCAGACGTACCACTCATTGCTAGAGACTTGACATATATCATGTATATAGTGTATATAGGACATCTACAGAAGTACTGCTGATGACACCTCCACCACTATCTCTCTCTCTTTCATGTGTACTCTCGCTTTGTCTATCTCTCTCTCTTTCTCTCTTTCTCTCTTTCTCTCTTTCTCTCTCTCTGTGTGTCTCTTGCCCCTCTCTCTTTCTAACGCTACCTATCTATCTATGCCCTCTCTCTCCCCCTTGCCCATCTCTCTTTCTAACGCTACCTATTTATCTAGCCCCTCTCTTTTTCCCTCTCTCGCCCCCTTATCTTTCTTCTCTCAGATGCTTTCTCTGCAGGACTATAGTATGGCCGGGAAGTGAAATTCTGGAAATGTACATTTCTATTACATTTCAGAAATGCTAAATATAACCTGCAACTTTCCAACACCCATCTTCTTGCTCCACCATCGACACAGGCACGCACTGTCGCTATTCGTCCCTTGTTAGTATACTTGGTTGGTGGTAGGGGTGGTAGTGGTGAGGACAATGCTATAAACTATGACTGGATATGCAGGGGGGCACTTATCAATATCTCACCTTTCGTACGAGTCCCTGTATATCGAAAAGCCCTGTCAGCTCCTCTCTGAGCTGTGTCGTATTGATGTGACATAAAGCATCCTTCAGCTGACTGGCATCCGTTGTATTGGGAAGGATGAAGTACTCTTCTATGAAAGCTTCACTACACAGAACTGCCTCAACACCCTCCGCTGATATGCTCGAAACCAAATCGGATAACTGCACAAACCACAAGTAAAGTTTATAATATTTTCAGCCAATTTAAGTTACAACACGTCTCTGCTTTGTCTCACATCACATTACTTTAAATGACATAGCTTTGTTTACTCGTCTGCACTATCGACTTGCGGTTGTACTGTACATACTGTGATTGTGAATGCCAGATGGAAAGAAGGCAAATCTAGAAGCAAACCTTAATCTCAGTATTTTAAACAATGATAGTATTTATTAGGGATATTATATAGCTATCGTCCATCCCAGCTTCTCTCCATACCTTGTCCAGTCTGACTGAGCTCTGCAGCACTGTTGAAACAATGTCGGGTCCGATGTCGAAGGTCGAGTGAAGGATGGCGTTGAGTTGATCTGTGTCGTTGAAAAGTCCACCAAGGTTCAGAACGCCCTCCTTGTCTAAACACAGAGCGAGTTGAATGCAGCACTCCATCATTGCGGCCAGCAACGTTACAGGCCAGGTGATCGAACCAATGCCCCGGTGTGGACCCAATTAACAAACTATATTGAGCCCCCTTTTGTGTTTTCTCCTTGTATTGTTATGACCTATTATTGAACTTATTTGCACGATCACCCAGGAAAGATTCAAAGGATCAGACTTAAAAGAGGATACATGGTTACAAACCCATAAACTATCACATAGAGCCGCCAGCTCGAAACTATACATTGACTCACAGTCCAAAGAGTCCAGGAAATCAGTCGTGTAGTCTATTATCACCGAGGATACGTAATAAAACTGGCCGACAGTTTGGATAACTTTGCGATCATCACTGAGAAGGATGTAGTCATTGAATACACGTGCCCAACTACAAAAACAATGTCAAATCAGTTTCAAAATGTCCTCAGAAGATAAACTAAGATATAACATTAGAAGTACCTGATGCAAGACTGACAAAGACCTTAACATAAATATTACAGAACAGCTCTTCAACGCATTTAACTCACACACACACACACAAACCTACGTATGCACGCATGCACAGAGTCATGCACGCACACACGCACAAGCGACAAACAAAAAATAACCAAATTTATAAATGAATCAGAGTTAGGCTGACTCACAATGTGGGGTCTTGCACCATCTTCTCCGCGAGTAAATTTTGCTGCTGGACAGTGTCCAGCCAAATTCCCTCCTCCAACCAGCGGTCATCTCGTACGAACATAGGGTGAGTTCTAGCGAGGGTGGATATGTGAGTCTCCAGCTGCTGCAACTTACTCAGGGTGCCACGCACGTTAATCGGCCCGGAGTTGTCTCCCTGTGCAGGTGCAAGAGGAAAGTAACAGCGAAAGCTCGCATGGATGAGACTATGCACCACTACAGTGTTGGTAATAAACCAAAATGTCATGATTGGTATTAAATTACAATACTATGACAGGGTGCGAAATTAACGCGAGTCCGGAGTCAAATACTCTCTGATTTACTGTCGGACTCCCTGATTTGACATATGCAGAAGTCCGTGTGACTCCCTGAAAATTCTGCCATACTAACTAGTTCGTTCCAGAGCACGGCATCGCGGAATTGCTGTATTTTTTCAGCAAATATGCAAAGAAAATTTGGCAGACGTGCAACCGCATGAATCTTTAAAATAAGCACATGCATTATTGTTAATATCTTTAATTTTGAACTTCAGACTGCGGACTCCCTCATTTTGCCGCAGACTCCCTCTTTTTAAGGGCAGGGAGTTTTTTCAAAAGTTAAATTCTACTCCTGCTATGAAGTCTCATTGATTTCACATCATGCAGAAGGCTGGCAAACCTCTAGTGTGATGGCATCGACGTTGAAGAAAGATATCAGCTCGGGCAGCAGCTGCGTGTAGTTGAGCTGGCAGATGGCAGTCTGCACATTGCTATACTGCTCGGGGGAAAAGCCCGGGATAGGGAGGATGTCCTGCAGGCCATCGGTGCATAGCTTCTCCAGAAACTCCTCCCCTGGATACTGCCGCATTGCCTGCTGCAACTACACGCACACAGAACAAAGCTTTGTTGTGAAACTAGCTTTCAGTAATTTAAATTCACACAGAGATCTTCATAGAGAGGTGACAGTTTTATAGAAGTGGTTTCCCTGTATAACTGCAACTCCCAAGTGTTGCCAAAAGTGTTCCTTATAGGCAGACTTGGTGTTCTTTATAGTATTCCATAGGTGACTGCTAACTAGGGTTTTAATGTACAATCTATAGACTTTCACAACACGATGCAATAAAAATTTAGCAAAAAGCACCAAGCGATTCTGCAGGGAATCATTAACTTTGTCTACGAATACTTGGCTTCAAAGTAGCAACAACACAGACATGAAGCGATACCGTATGTCACTGTACCTTATGGTTGTTGATAAATTGAAATATGGTGTAAAACTCAGGTGTGGCAGGAAGCAGGTTGGTTAACAGCGAGTGCAGCTGAGAGCCCGGCGGGAAAATGTCGGACAGAGAGAACGACTCACCTATCAAACAAGAATGATGCGTATCAGCTGTAAAATACAACTCACCAACACAATCACCCAGTCTTCTCCAATATGTGATACACAACAAATAAGCAAAGAAACCACATCATCATCATCATCATCATCATCATCATCATCACGAACTCTATCAAATATATAAGTTCTGAGTCAGGGCAGTTACTGTAAAGACACCATCCCGAAAGACTGAAAATTAGCTTACGAGTTTCCAAGTCAGCAAGCTTCGTGTTGAGCCAGTCTAGTGCTGCATCAAGAACGTGAATCGACTTCCTGGCTACTAGTGACCCTTGTATGATGGGTTCCAGATCACGCAGGATATCAGACAGACTGCAGATTACGAATGCAGAGTGAATTAATATTCAGAAAACTAGATGAAAGGGTTTGCACTGTCAAAAGCATTACAGGTTTGATCATTGGTACGTTAGTTTGCACTTTAGTAGTGATAACCTAAGTAGATAACTTACACATTACTGTCATTTTCTGTCTGGGCCCAGAACTCCTCAACTTGCGATGTCCAGTAGGAATCATTTGCCCACATTGAATTATTGGTGAGATTGCCCAGATGGAAGGATATTTGTGACTGTGGGAGATCCATCTGAACTTTGATCAACTCCTTAGATAAAATAAAGAACACTTTTATCATTGGCTCCAACTTTCCTTAATATTAATAACTAGCAGAGTGAAGTAACACACCCACATCTAATAGGTGGATACATATAGGCGCTCTATGTAAAAAACTCAATTTCTGTATTTAAACAGTAGGCAGGCTGATCAATATGTTCTGTAACCTTTCAACACGGACGTGAGTGACCCACATCACCTGTGCATAAACAGTCTGTACCTGCACTTTGTCAACATAGTGTTCTGTGCTGACCGGCGGCAGTGCAGCTATCTCGCCCTCCAATGCCGTGTAGTTAAACGAGCACACGTTATCGACAAACACTCGCACATTCAATTCAGATCCAGGTGGCAGCAGCAACACATTTTCTAACGAGTCGGTGCAGAGAGAGTTGCTAGATAGGATCCTGTGGAGCTCATAGGTCTGAAATCATACAAGTGAAATTCAACACGTCATACATACGATTTTTTGCCCTTTTTGTTTTTCTGCATTGTTCTACGTCTTTGCATTTTCTCTTGTGTCTCTCGTTTGTGTTTCTGTTTTTTTTACAGTTTTTTTTTATTGCACACACCTTTGTGATAATCATCACGATGCTCAAACAATATTCAGAACTTCTGAATATGAATCCAGTTGAAGTTAGTTTAGTTCCAACCAAAAGTTATTTCACACCAGTTTATCAACCTTGAAAACTTGGGACTAGTGGCAGATTACACGATAGCTGATGTGTATCACCTTGTGAAAGTCATTCCACTCAGTGAAAATGACAGCTTCGCTGATGGGCACTAGATCTCGTAACATGGCTACCAGCTTCTGTGTTTCTACACCTTCAGGCGCAGCAAGGTCCATACCTGAAAATCACAGGCATGCCCAATCACCATGCACACAATTGCCATGCCAAGATCTTCGGCCAAAAGACCGGTGACACAAATACGTGGGTGTGGGTTTCGAGATGACCGCTATGTACACACGAATGATGCAGCGCCAGAAGCATTACATCGAATACTCGAGATTGCTCAGCTTACCAGTGAGAGATCCCAGCACTGAGGTTGTCACTTCCACGGCATAGTTCATGGTCTTCAATAGGTGGGCACTACTGTCGTCATCCAGAGATGAGAGCCCCAACTTCAGCAGCATGGGCAGTTGGTCTTGAACGATGCTGAAATAGCAATTATTGCAAATACACATTGAGCACCCATTTTTTTTCGAAATGCTTGACATGTCGTTTGAGATTGCTCCCACACCTCTTATTCCTCACTTACCAATATCGACGCCGTACCTCAAGCCGTTCTGATTTGTGCCGCTGTTGCTGATGCCCCATAGGGAGACAGACTAACGCACACCTGAAGCCCTGCATTAACTGAATCCGAGCGATAGCTCAGATTAGCTCAAACTCCGTATGCATGTTTTTGGTTGCAGAACTAAGTTTTGGCAAATCCCACGGGTAGCTTATTTGCCACCAAGGCAACTGGGAAGAAAGTAGCTTTGAAACACTGCATGGGCGAATATACCTTTGTAAAAAGACATCTTGGTTTATTGTCGAATTCAGAAATTGCTGTAGGACTGCCTGCCATTGATCTGTGTTAATAGTGATGTTACTTCCAAACGAGAATGGTGTAGTGGACAGTGTGTGTAGACTCTTTGTGAGCTGCTCAAAGTTTCTCAGGGCTGCGCTGATGTTAACAGCCGCTGGGAACACAGATCCATCTGGCTTCTGCAGTGCTGCCACCTGGAGGAACAAATACATAAAATTGCACTAATAATCTGGGCTGTCTCCATTACCGAAAGCCCCGTTCATTTCTGAGGGCGCTGCCGTGTCGTGATATCATAAACTAATATCAACACAGTTCTGTATCTAACACAGTAGCAGTTGTCACAGACCACACGTGCTACATTCCCCTCTCTCTCACACACACACACACACACACACTGCAGCAGTGGCCATATAGACCACACTCGCTACAGTTTCACAACGCCCACACACACACACACAATACGGCAGCAGTCAGAGACCACACACGCTATACATGCTCCCCTGACACACACCAATCACAACACAGGAGCCCGCACTCACCAGCCGATCTATCTCCGGAGTGGTCAGGGACTGCATGATTTCGGGGAGAATTATCGTGTAGTTAAGGTTGATGCACAGCGCGCGCTGCACGGAGCCGAGCTCTACAGTGGAGTTTGGTGGTAGCTTCACGTAGCGGCTGAACAACGCCAGATTCTCACACAGTTCCTCACGCACCGTCGCGTTCTGCAGCTGCTCAAAAAGTGTGGCCTGAAAATGAAACATTTATTTTTTATTTATTCATTAAATAATTTAAAGACGGTACATTGGTGTTGGTGAAAGATATATCAACATGAGCTTGTAAGCTCCTCACCATCAGTGCAATAACAAAAAACATTTCCTAATTAAAAGTGAGCTAGTGACAAGTGACTTTGTCATGGGACAGCACAAGTATGGCATCATGGCAGTGCACGCAATTGTTTATTTTCGATGTTTAATAGCTACAGCGAATGTCTGATAACATAAATATGTAGGAATATACTATACTTTATGCAATAAAATCAAAACCAATACTGTCAAATTTTAAACTAATGTTGTCTTTAAATATTGGCAGCGATATCTACGATTAGGGAGCCACTGTGGTGCCAAATACGGCACCCACAATCACAGGAATTGCTGATCAAGGTACATTACCAAGATGTTCAAAATGTTGACATAATAGTTGCACCATCTCGGTGATTTAATAAAATCCCCTCACTGTGAGAGACAATTAAATGACATTATGACATTCATCATGGCAGCTGTAGCATCTACTTTTAAATTTGTACTCACTGCAGGTGGATGTAGAGCGTTGTAAAGCAGGACGCCTGCGATAGCCGGGTCAGCCTGCGTGAGTGCCAGAACTTTCTCCAACTCATCTGAGTTGATCAGTGTCTCCAGCGTGGAACTCGAGTTGGCAAGGGCAGCCAGTCGATCGAGAAGAATGGGTGCAAATGTATTGAAGCTTTTCACAGCTTCACCCGTTGCTTTCCACAGCTGCTCGGCAGCCAAGTTGTTACTCGTTGCCACGGCGCTGTCGAGCAGTGGTATCAAGTTGTCCAGCTTCATCAACTGCAGCCTGTAGGAATCGAATGGACATGTCAGCCTTAGGATATAACAACAGCGAACATTCACACATTCGAAATCGATTCTTCGAAATCGAAATCACACATTCGATTCACACAATCGATTCACACATTCGATTCACACAATCAATTCACACATTCGATTCACACAATCGATTCACACATTCGAAATCGAGACTTACTTAAAAAAGTCTTGCTCTTGCAACAGTGGCAGGTGCTTGTCGAGGATCGCCTGAATCGCCGTCTCATTTACAGTTGGAAGGTTGAGTGGCAGTGGCGATTCACGCGTGGCCAGCTGCCCTATGGTCTGCACATAGTCAATGTAGCTGTCTATCATGTCCGTCCAGTTGACTGTCAGCGGTAACCCATTCTCGACCATACGTTTCTGTAACGAATTTAAGCAAACATTCAACTTATATTAACAATTGTCTTTTAGCAATACTATGCGTTGTCAGCAAAAAGATATCGGGATGACTGGCTCCCAACACGTCCTTAGAGGACAACCAAACACTTTGAAGTCTATGGGGAACATTTCTTCCAACATGTGGGCGAATTATCGCTACGTTCATAACAATGCCGATAAGCTAGTTAGGCATCGGCCGATGACGAGCAAGCCCGCTGCATAATAAAAGCCCAGACTTCGAGCGAACATGACCTCAAACAACGTGTGCTTACCAACGCCATCAACTCTTTTACGTATGGTTGTTGTTGCGAGCGTTTGATGATGGCCATGATGAAGTTGTCACACACCATCTCTTGCAGCTTTTCAACATCCTCATCATTGTCAGGGAAGAGGAGGAATCTTGTGAAGTTCAATCCCTGACATGGCTCAGTCAGATTTCTGCAAGAACCTCGTACGTGTTATAAAGCCTCGCATCCAAACAGGTCAGTTTAAAAAAACAGTGTAAGCAACGTAAATTTGAATTTAAGTGAACGTGTATGTAATGTAAAAGCACATTTTACAGTGAAACTTGTAGTACATATTGGTAACTCCAGGAAATGCAAAGGTCTATAGAGGAGAGTTCACGGTATACTGCTAAGCAGAAGAAATGCCGAAAGTGTACTTTACATACAGCGTTCCACTACATAGAAGTGACTGCAAACCGGGTTTGACTGTACCTCACTAAAATTAAATCTGTTACTAAAGCAATGTTTTATGATGCCAACCATGTGATAAGGTCATATTACAGACTCAACGGTTAATGTCTTATGACCTCATAAGGTCATATTACAGACTCAATGGTCAATGTCTTATGACCTCATAATGTCATATTACAGACTCAATGGTCAAGGTCTTATGACCTCATAAGGTCATATTACAGACTCATCGATCAATGTCCTATGAACTCATAAGGTCATATTACAGACTCAACGGTCAATGTCTTATGCCCGCATAATGTCATATTACAGACTCATAATCAAATTCACCTGAAGTCACTTGACAGCACTGTCGTGAGAAACTCGTCCGGGTTGATGACGACTGACAGAATGGCATCCAGCACTTCAGGTGCTACTTCCAACGACTTCACTATGACGTCGTCTATCACAGATATATCGCCTGTCCACAAGGACAGTGTAATGCCCTTCTCTGTAAATTTGACACAGATCACATTTTCAACGTAATGTTGAATAAAATTTTCCCATTCAACATGAACAATGAACAAAATTACCTAAATTCTTACATAATGCTTAATTATAACAAGGAGTGTAACCTGCGTAAGGATTAGTCGCATGATCGCAACCACGCGAAATATAGTAACTTGCCCCATTACGATGACTTGAATTGGGGAAATTCGCTCATATGAAATTAGGAAATCATGACTACTTTATTCAATATACGATATATATATTTGCTTGTATTTTCCAAAAGATAGAATGAGTTTTCCTTTCTAACTAACAGCCCTATTAACAGCCCTATTATATCGTTTAATCAGCGACTGGCGTAAATAAAATGAATATAATACAAATGCAGACAGCTGCCAACACGTCTGGTGGGTCAGATTTTTAATAAGTAAAAACACTGCAAAAATTTAATGGAAGGATCAATAGACATTCAATGAAATTGGAATGACATCAATTGGGGTGTGATTCGCGTTACACAATTTCGCGTACAACCGTTTTTTCGGGAACACATAACTTCCATTATGTGTGGTACACTTGCTTCGATCAGTGTACAAAATTCAACATATAGTTATTCATGATGTATTACAAGAGTTCCTTGCAAGCATAGTACTGTTACCTTCTACTTGTGAAATCTGCCGGACGTATTCCTTGAGATTTACATTGATCATGAGAAGTTGTGCCTTTAGGTCATACCACTCAGTGACATTTTCCAACTCTCTGTCCAGAGCTTCCATCTCTGTTGTAATTAGGAGCTTCAAGCTGTAGGAAAATAAGCTCATCATCATCGTCATCATTATCATTATCATCAAAGCTCAGCATAATCAGGGCTGTCATACACCCTAAATAACATGAGAATTTACTGAGCAACTAGGTAAAAATTTCAAACATTAAACATGTTAAAAACGCCGCATTAAAATTGTTCGGACGTATCTTACGCAAGGCCATCACACAACTAAAGCAAAATTAATTAATAAGTACACAATAAGAACTAAAGATCAATATAGACTAAAATTATACCAGGCAATCAAAACACAAAGGGAGCTAAAGATAGGGCACAATGTTTCTTAGATGGCCTTTAAAAGAAGAAGTGTAGAAGAGGTGAGGAGTATGGAGTAGAGGTAGACTGTACTCTCTCGCCACAGCTTACCAACTTCTGCCGCTATCGACCATTTCCACGTCTGCATGCCACGTCACTATCTATTACGGGTGAAACCCATAGAAGAGTCAGCTGCCCAATGACATGCATATTATGCCAACACTGCAGGAGTTAGGTAACAGGTTCAGGGCTTCCTGTGCTAGTGTATATACCAATCATATATGGTACCTGCGACAGTGGTAAACTGTTCTACTGAATCGCCGCAGAACATTTAAGAGATTTTCTGAGCTTATCGGTGTAGACAAATCATAGGGTGGATCCAAACGCACCTCATCGAGTAGCACTGAGAAACTTACAGGTCAGTGTCAAGCTGTTTTGTGGCCAGAGATTTCTCCAGTATGGTACCAGCATCCACCAGCTCCGAATAATCCACGTCTAGCATTAGATGATCCAGTAATCCAGAGACCTCATCAGTCCAAGTGAATGCAAAAGCAATCCGTATCTTGGACAGCAACTCAGTCCATGGAAATTTTCCAGGGGTGTACTTCAGTTCAGCCTTGCCATGTACTATAGCAAGTACCTGTGAAACCAAAAAGATTACAGATTATTACTTAATTTAACCCCATATAAAGGCTATGGTCATATAGGCAATCATGCTGTCCGAAAGAGTAAATTCTCACCCAACGGAAATGCAATTTTGTAGTTATTCCCCCCTAAAGAACTGCAACAATCATAATTACATAAAACAACACACAAGGAGTGGTCAGAGGCCATAAACCTTGCCATACGACATGTCTTATGTAATGCTGCACACCTTGCTGTAGAGCTTCGTGAATTCTTCGTCTTTGAACCCCGTCTCGTTTAATAAGATGAAGGGATTAACAACCTCCTGTAGGGTGCACATCGCCTGCCGTACCCCCCACAGCTCCGGCGCCAACGTACGATTACCCACCCTCGACTCAGACCTACAGAGAACGCTCTGCAGCTGCACGTGCTCTGGATTGGACCTCAGCTGTTGATACAGCTTCGTCACCTGTGAGATGCAATGCATGTTAACGAAGAGACCGTGATGAAGAAAGTTAGTTATTGATAGCGTTGGAGTACTATGGGAAACAGTAGACATATAATGATGCCTATGCAATGTTATCACCTTGTAGGCAAACAAACAGATTGGCATTATCGTGCAAGAATACAAATGCAGCCTTTTATGTGTAATGCTTGCAGTTTTGCCAAAGCACAACTATATAATCTGAGCTAATCACCTTGCTCGTATCATTCGATATTTCGGTGATTCTTCGTAGTGCCACAGCTGCCTCGCTTACCAGCACCTGCCAGTTGTCAACGATACTCCCAAAAAGATTGTTCTTTTCTAAGTGTGGACAAGAAATGGAACGTATGAAAGCTCGCCACACATCCGTGCATACTCGTGAGGCAGTAACGTGTGATTTCTATACACTGAGATAATTCACGTGCACTGTAATAGCTCCGTTGACCAGTTTATCTTTGCAATGAAGAGGGCGTCTGCTAGTGATGTCACGATCATCGATTATACTCGATCATCGGTTGAACAGTAGCTCAAACCAAGCACTTGGTTATCAAAATCCATAAATGATTTCATCGCTACTATACAAGTTATCCTTTATTAACATACATGTATTATACACACAGTAGTAAACAGTGCAAAACAAACAGTAAACAGGGCTAAACAAGCACATACATGCACACACGTACATATGCACGCGACGTTAAGCACACGCAGGCATTCAACACCCCGAGCAACCGATTGTAACCGATCATCGGTTACTTGGGTCCAACCGATGATCGATTACGAAATTACAACCGATTGACAACACTAGCGTCTGCACATCGGTGAGCTAATATAATAGTATAATGGGGGTAACTATGCATAAAACAGCATCATGCTTTTAAGGCAAAAGCTTATAAGGGCATGCACGTTGATCTGCCCACCCAGTAACGTCTGCTGCTGGGAACTGATCGTAGTAGCTGATTCCATGAGCAGCTCTAGCACAGCTTGGATCTGTGGCCAGACAGCACTCTGCTCCAGAATGGGTGCAATGTCCTTTGCCAGAATGCTCCAGCTATCGCAAAAGCAAAGATACATTTATTTACATGCATGAATATTAGAAACAATTCACAAGTACACATATGCAATAAATGCAAGCACAGTTTAGCAATTTTAACAACTGACAAACTGACATATATGGTGAGCACTCACAAAAACAATGTGTTCAACACGATATAGCTAGACGCCAGTGACTCACTAGATCATGTTTTGCCCGAAATCTTTCTCGAACTGGTCCCTGGCCTGATTCCACTTCACAATCTCATCATCGGTGTACTCCCGGTTCGCCATCGCGTTTGCAGCTACCCGGTGTACCAAGTACTGCATCTCATACAGATGTCTGCTTCTGTTGGGAAGCTTGTTGGTGTAGTGGTCGTAAAGACGGCGTGCTTTGGCAACGATTGCGCTAAGAAGGTCAGGAGAATCGAAGCCATCGTTCGCTCTTGGCTTAGCACTCTTGCTGGTAAGATCGACCAACTTCTGGAACTGTGAATTAAAGGCATCCACTACTTTCAATGTGCCCATTAAATCTTATGAAATCTTTAATTCTACACACCCTCTAACAATTTCTGATATCTCCACCCTCCACACCCACAGTGTGTAACACTCCCACCCTTTCCCACAGTGTGTAACACCACCCCTCACTTCCCACACTGTGTGATACCCCCATCCACCCCTCTCTTCAACCAACACAGTATTTGATACCCTCACACGTCCCTCTCTTCCCACAGTGTGTGATACCCCATGTACCCCTCCCTTGCTCTCAAACAGTTTGTGATACCCCATGTACCCCTCCCTTGCTCTCAAACAGTGTGTGATACCCCATGTACCCCTCCCTTACTCTCAAACAGTGTGTGATACCCCATGCACCCCTCCCCTCCCATAGTGTTTGACAACTCCATGGACCCCTCCCTTGCTTCCACAAAGTATGTGATACCCAATACTTCTCCTCTCCCGCAGTATGAAATACCTGTACCCTCCCCCACACTGTGCGATATCCCCCCCACCAGCTTCCCTCCCACATAGTCTGTAATCCATCCCTACCTGTGCCTGATAACCATCCCCCTTCCCCATCCATACACCATATGATACCACCTTGCAGGCAACGTGTGGTCCCATCAGGACAGGAGTGTATAATATATAATATACAGATTATTATACACTTCTGATGTTATTATGCCCACTGTCCCTAGAGCAGACGTACTTTGTCAATAACAGCGCTGTTGTTCAACAACACTTCCAGATACTCGAGGTATTCATCGCTGCACACCAGCATCTGGTAGCTACTCAACAGCTCTTCGTTGGGCAAAGCGTAGACGTGTGAGTTGCGCAGGATGCCACACAGCGCGACCTGGTCGCCTACATGCTGCAGCAGCTTCTGCAAAAAAAACAGCACACGTCTAATGCTGGCGAAACGTCAGGTCGGGTTCAACACCCGGCGATCGTGTACTTGACGTTGTAAGAGCAGTATGTGTGTCAGTGTTGTAGGTCTCGAGACCAGTCTTGGCCTCGAGACCGGTCTCGAGACCGTTTTCCTTGGTCTCGGTCTCGGTCTCGGCCTCGGAGTGCAATGACTCGGACTCGGACTCGGACTCGAGCCCTCAGGACTCGAGGACTCGGGTCGAGACTGGCTCGAGGCCACTACATACATAGTAGCAGGAGTCATAGATGGTGTTTGTCGCGCTTTAAATCGTGCGTGGGCCGAGTTCACGCGCATCATTCGTATTCAACCACGGGCATAATAATGTACACAGGCGCGCGGTTAATCAATCGTCTACTGCGGCTGGCAGCAAGCTACGTTGTTTTTGCCGAAGGGTAGACTGGTATCCGCCTATCCGGCCTCACGCTCTGCTAGACAATGTACACGCTCTGCGACAAACAGTGCGGCCGCGAACCAGTCTAGCCAGATGTGACCTTTCAGTGCACCCTGGGTTGCACGCTGGGTTAACGGGCTAGACACTGACAGGTATTGTTTTAACTTTAAGCACGAACACCGTAATAAAGATTCGATGTTTTGCCTTGCACTGACATTGTGAAAATTGTGCATTTTGTAATTACAAATGTGAATTATAAGGCAGAAAGGTGTGAAATGATGTCATGAACCTATGTGCGAGTACTAGTAGGTACTACTATATGACCTCTACCACTTGTTGTTATGCACTATGCATTATAATCATTTATACATATTACATAGTACTGTATGCATGACTTCATTCGCATTTTTCGTTTGTTAATTAAACTTTGTTCATCAAACTTTGACGACTCGTGTCTCTGTGTTTTCGGCTGACTATACACTTTCGAATGTCTACGATGCACGGTTGCGCTTTTTTCCCAGATCAATCTCATAAGCCAAGTCGGATGATTGCCACTAATCTACATTCTACATACAATAGAAATGTTCGTAGCGTAAACAATGCATAATGCACAATGCCGCTAGACGTGCGCGCGCGGCTATACTAGCATGCGTTTTGCACACAAGAAAAACCGCGATGCTAATCGCGATGGAAATACCGGTCGTTATTTCTCTAAGTCGACACAAAATATGCTGTCCCAAAAGTGTCGACTTATGCAAGTTTTATGGTACTTTCTATTTTATGCAAACAAGTGACAGATCCAGGGACAGGAAACACCCCCCCCCCATTTTGAACAAACACATACATAGAAGTGAGTGGCCTTGCG